TCAAGGAGCGGCTCGACGGGAGGCTAACAAAGTGCGCTCGACGGAAGTTACCTTGGAGTGGCTCTCGAGGCAAAACACCGTATGTAACGTTCCAACGCTGCCGAATCGACTCCGATGAAAGGCGAATTTTCCGGGCAAAGAGAGGAATTTTTTCGCCGAATTTTTCAGCGGATTCTAATCGCAATGTTTTCGGGTCCTCGCTCGAAAAATTCACGGCGAAATCGCCAAAGTTTCTCGTAAACTTAAGTTTTTTTCGGAGAAAATTTGGCAACGTTTGTATGCTCTTACGACGCTACTCCTTAGCTGGGTGGAAAAGTCCTCAGTCAGCGCGATGAGGAGCTTGCGCCGATGGTGTTCGCGAGTTTAGGTTGCCAGGTAGTGCAATTAAAGGTGGATATTTGTATGGGTTTAAAGGGTGAAAAGTGGAATATCTGGCAAAAATGTGGCGCTCAAGAGGGCTTTATCCGTGGAGAGACTACACGACGTCGCGGGAGCCCACGGCGAGGCCACTAGTTCCTCGACGGCTTCCGCACCGGGACCGGCGTCCACGATCCATCGGGCGTCGCATCCACCGTCCACCTGGCCAGGTCTTCACCGCTCACCACCCGTCGCATTCATCGGTTAGTTGGAATCATCCCCTCGCCCTAGGTCTTGGTAGACGATCAAATTCCGCAACTATTTTCCAACCAAGTGTCGGGGGTTATCAGTTCTGAATTCGTTACCAGCGTGTCTACAAGTCCGGATATAGTAATGATTTTTCTAGGGCGGTCCGGAAGTACTGAAGAAGTGTGGAATTTTTGCGAGAAGGTTTGGAAGTTTGTCGCAATTCGTGCGAGAATTTCAAATTTTTGAAAACTTTCGAATTTCGTCAATTGGAGGTACTGAAAAAGTACTGAATTTCGGCCAGCCTGTTTTAGGAGACACCCTGTCGTTACTTCCCATTATTTTGAAATATAAACTTAGCAGAAATATTCTTAAAAATAATGTTGCATGGTTAGGGTGACCAACCGTCGTCAAATGGTCTATCGGAATTTGATATGTGAGTGATCTTGTATTTTCCGATGTTCGGGAGTGCAGGCGTGATGAGTATGCTCGATCGCCCGATCTGTGGATCGCGGGTGGAGGTCTCAACCTTATAACACAGTGTACCCTCCGGCAAGTGCTGAGTAGGCAATGTGCACATCAGGTAGCATTTGTAAAGCGGTGTAACGTTGGAAGTATTTCCCCGATGTTGAAGGCGCTACTTAGAGTACGCGCGAGCGCGCCTTTTATTGCTTGGGAAAATTTTGAATGGAACGGTAGACTAAGTACGAATAGTCAAGGATTGTGATACATGTTTCCCTCAAAATTTTACGTAAAACATGATTCGTGCAACGAAAAATACTGGAATGAATTCCTAACTGAGCTATTAATGTTTTAATTTTACATTGGTAACAGGAAATTTTAATTGCCCGGGCCCAAGAAAAACAATACCCCACGTAAGTCAAAATCGCGCACTACAGCGGTTTTAGTAATCTTCTCAATCGAGCAGTGGTGTGCTTGTGTACCAGTGTAACACTGTAAAACCCTGCCTTGTGTTCTTCAAAGTGTCGGCAATGTGCAATAGCCGAGCCTAAGCGCCGAGAGAGAGGTTGTCATATTTCAATACCGAACGGTAACGTTTAGTGTGCGATTTAACTCAAGTCGATTATTGTTTTTTCTATGAGTGGGAAGTTTGAATTAATGCATTGGAAAACGTCAATATCTTGGCAAGGAGTTGATGTCACTATTTTTTTCGCTACGAGAATCGTGTTCTGCGTGTTTTGATTTTAAGAATCGTGCATCCGAATCCTTAAACTCGCATCTTGTCTACTGGTCCATCTACTCATCGGATCGTATGTGTAAAACGGTGTAGGGCTTGAAGTATTTCTCCGGTGTTGAAGGCGCTATACCGAGTGTTCCAGAGCAGTAGAGCACCCGTCCACTATCTTTCTCTTTTTTTCGGGAACAGCCGAGAATTGAGCTTCAGGACGAAAATTTCTAGGCGTAAATCGACCCCCAAGAAATTAAATAAAAATATTCAGATCACCGAAACCTCATGGGGGAGGGATAAGGGGGGTACCCTTCGTAAGCCCGCATCTCCCGTTTCTCGCATATTTCCACAATTTCCTCTCCTAAGAGAGGAGATCAATATATTTTTTGTTGATGTGCCTCATGACTCCTATTGATCCCAAATTTTGAGGGCCTCGACCCCCGACAATTTTGTGGCTTTGAAGGGCCATAATTCGAAAATTTCAAATGGCAAGGGTATATTTTTACTTCAGTATACGTAGTGTTAATGTGGCATATGACCTATTTGCCCCCTCTTTCCTCCAAAAATACCCGGGTCCCTTTAGGGAAATGGGGTCCTAGGGTAATTAATTCTGATGGGATCGAGACTTTTAAATTTGATGCCTACAGTGTTCAATTGAAATGTGCCCCAAAAATGCCTCGTAACTCCGAAAAATGGGGGTTTAGGGGAAAAAAGCATATCTCAAAAAAGTTCTTGTTTTTGGCCATAAACTTTGAATCCGAAGTCAATACGTACCCTTCTTCTTTGACATATACGAGAAACGAGGGAGGGGCACCCCCTTTTAAACCCCTTCAAGATGGGGTTTCGCAAGGCTGAAAATATTTTATTGAATCCTCTGGGGTCGATTTACCCTTTGAAATTTTCGTCCCGAAGCTCAATTCTCGAAGAAAAGGATAGTAGACGGATGCTCTGGAACACCCGGTATATAGTGCGCGCGGGCGCGCCTTTTACTGTCAGCGAAAATTTCACTTCGCGACGTCAGCGATCATAATCTCATTGATTACGGCACGTAAAATTCCTACGAATTTGATGAGAGGATGTGTCTAACCGGGCCATCAACACGTCAAAACAAAATCTCGGAACAGAGTAAAATCACTGCGTTTTCCAGCCCTCCCGTTGGTAAGCCGTATAAACGTTGAGGTCATCGATTAACCCTTCCCAGCTCCTATTTCAACCTTGTGAGGCCGTTTATACACGGTCAAAGTGAAAGCTTCAAAGCGAGCACTACTAGTAACCCATGACCCGATCTTCCACCACGGGCCAATGGAACAATTATCGACAATCTACTTTAAATACCTCACTGTGATCGTTGGAAGTCTACTTAGTAGTGTCATCGCGGAAAACCGAAAGTTCGGACATGATGTTTTGAAAAATGAACCAATAGTGTCCGGCCAAATTTGACTTCACAAAACCTCCGTGTTTGGAACATTTTCAACGATCACCCGGAGGACTTTCAGAAATTTCGCGAATGACTCCCAGAGGGTTTCTACAAGTCCGGAATTCCCGAAAAGTCCGGAAATAGTACTGATTTTTCAAGGGCGGTCCGGAAGTACTGAAAAAGTGCGTAAATTCTGCAAAAAGGTCCGGAATTTTTTCAGATATTTTGTCATTTTTGTCACAATTTCAAGTTTTTGAAATTTTTCTAATTTCGTCAAATGGAGGTACTGAAAAATTTTTGTGTTGGAGGAAGTTAAGTACTCAATTTCTTGAAAAACTACTTATTTTTGACCAGTCTGTTTTAGTAGACACCCTGTCCCGAATTTTGGTTTTTCATAACTGGGAGACACCCTGATCCCTGTGGTAAGGATCAAAAGGCTGGAAACTAAAGGGTTTGTGTTTGTTTGTTGCAGGTGATCTGGGTGTGCATCCTGTGCCGGAAGAAACAGGAGCTGCTGAGCAAGACCGGTCAGTGGATCAACAAGGGCGGGGTCCCAGGCTCGGGCGGGGACCCGATCATCCGGCGCATCGAGGCCGACCTCCAGGGCCAGAGCCTCCCCGGGGGGGACAAGCGGCCCAAGCTAGAGCGAGCCCACTCGGCCGCCGAGAAGGAGAACCAACCCCTCCAGAAATCCGCGAGCTCCCTCAAGCGCCAGTACTCCCAGCAGGAGCACAAGTACCAGGCCGAAGATGAGCCGGACAAGGAGGCTGAGATCAACTTCTACCGCGGCGAGATGGAGGAGCTGATGCGGGCCCACCAGGCCAAACCCCCGCACCCCCACCCTCACCCCCACCCCCACCCGCATCAACACAGGGAGGTCCCGCAGGTGCCCGGGCAGCAGCAGCCGAACAACAGCCTGAGCAAGAAGCACAAGAGGAGCAACTCGACCAAGGCCAAGGAGCCGGGGGGGCCCGCCCACGCCCACGGACGGGTGGCGCCCCGCGGCGGCCACCACCACAACCACCACCATCACCACCACCACCCCGCCCACCCCCGGGACATCAACGCCCAGAGGTCCTTCTCCTCCTCCGAGGACGAGCTCCGCTCCACGCCCGACTGCACCAGCTGCGAGGAGCGCGAGAATGATAAGGGTGAGTCACCATTTCCCATTGCCTTCTCCTTCTTCTTCTTCGAATACCCTTATGGCCTGGTTACACGATCAAATTGAACCATCAAATTGGGCCTCTCACTGGTCGCATCCTCACCTCAGGTCTTTTTCCACCAATCAGAGCTTCAGTTTGATAGCTCAATTTGATCGTGTAACTGGACCCTTAACTACGCGCGGTTAGAGTTCTTGTCGGGAACTCCTTGTGAGCTACTTAAACTACAGTCCTTTCATACTGAGAGGAAAGACAATACGAATCCATTTCTGATTGGTTCCTTTATTTTAGACCTCCATAGTGCCTCAAACGGGAATGCAGATTACATTTTCACCAATGGGTCAGTTGTGCTGGTCACAGAATCATGTTTTGATGCTTGATTCATGTAGATTAGCTAAAAAGAATAAGATCTGTCCAAACAACAACTTCCTACGTTGAATAGTAACCCAGATATTTCGCCTTGAAAACTCGATTTAAGACGTCATCCATAGCGGTTGTGCATTACATACTTCATGAATCGAGTTTTTCAAGGCGCGATAACTCGGTTACCATTCAACGTAGGCAGTTGCTGTTTGGATAGATCTTATTATTTTTTGTTGATCTGGAAGACTAAAGCATCAAAACACTAATTTGTGACCAGCGCAACTGACCCATTCAAAGATTTTAAACTGGAATGGACTGGGGAATCAGGGGCACGGCCAGGAACAAACGGAATGAGAGAAGGAACGGAGATAGGGACTCTGGAATGAGTTGATCAAATATCACGAAAAACGTTCAATTTGTGTAATCTTTATTCCCGTTTGTGACATTCATGAGCCGCGTTGTCTTAACACTCTCTATTCAAGGACTCCAACTTGGACGAGTAAAAAAAAAAAAAAAAAAAAAAAAAAAAAAAAAAAAAAAAGAGGAGCGTTCATAAATTACGTAACGCTCCAGGGAATTGGAGGGGGTAGGAGCCTGCGTAACGCTGCGTCTAAAAAGGAAGGAGGGTCAATGCCAGCGTTACCTAAACCTTCCTATTCTGCCTTGCTAAGAGAGAACGCCGTATGAGCCTTCAGACGTTGCTATTTTTCCTCAAATAAAACAGGAATTTTCCGAAAAACCTCCAAATATATTTCCAATTTTTCACTTAATTTCTTTTGCAATTTGATCTTAAGTATCTAAAATTTAAATACTTACAGGGTGTCTACATGTCCGGAAAGTCCGGAAATAGCACTGATTTTTTAAGGCCGGTCCGGAAGTACCAAAACAGTGCGGAAATTCCGTAAGGAGGTCCGGAATTTTTTTCATTTTTGAGGTAGAGGTGGGGCCAAACAAAGCCCTCTAGGGGAGCCAAGTAAGGCCCTTATCAATAGCCCTCATTTTTCGAATTTCGTCGAATGGAGGTACTGAAAAAGTACTGCATTTTTCTGTTGAGGAGGTACTGACTTTCTTGGGAATGTAGCGAAAAAGTGCTGTGAAAGCACTGATTTTTGGCCAGCCTATTTTAGTAGACACCCTGTAGTTATCTTTCCTTAAAAATCCATTTTTAATCGCTAGAAATGTGGCAATATTCGAATCTTCGTACGGCGTTTTTCCCCTGGAATCATAGCAAATCCTTAGGAAGTCCGCGCAACCTTTCGATAAAAGTGCATTTATCTTCCCCATTTTATCGACTTTATTTTCCTTTTTACATATCATTAATACTATTTTAAATTTTATGCAGCTGTTCATTCAATAGTTTCTCACAATTTTTGGGATCTCAAGCGCGGACGGGGTCAAGCTTTTACGTAATTATTAAGAGAGGCTCCGAGGTTACATTACGGAGCGTTTCAAGGGGAAGAAGGTGTCAAAAATGCCGGAAAAGTGCGTTTTGTAATTTATGAATGCTACCAAAGAGTGTGCCACAAAAGGCCATAGATCTACTCAATGCAGAGTGCGAATGGACACTGGTCCATGTTGAGACTCTTCAAGACCCGAAAATGTTGGGGCTTTTCGACGATTACGGGGTGTGGAATACCTTTGTAATAGGGTGTCTACCGGTCAAGAAATAGCACTGAAAAACCACCGATGAAAAAATTGGGAAATTTTTGCTTCACGGTACTTACTTGTGTTTTTAAACCGGCGTGAGAAGCACGCAATCCCTCGCCCAGCGATTTTCGTGCTTTCAATTTTCCGACAGTGCCTGTCGGGAACTCTGATGTCAGCATTTACATTTCGACTCATCTCTGACAAAACGAATAATGTTGGCTGTTCATTGCTATTTTAAATTGTAGATTTAATGGTAGAAATGTATATGAAAAATCGCTTTTGAACTGAGTGTGTGTAATTTGAAGAGCGATAATAGTTAGGTAGTCCTCGAGATGGACCAGCGGTGGATCTTACTCATAAAAGATGAAGATTTATTCTCGATCCTTTAATTGCCAGCCTCAATTGCAAATGATAATAATTACGTCTAAAGTGTGATGGTGGAAAAGTTTGTCATTCTAACGGCATTCTTTAAATCCGCTCGAATCCAAAGTTTTTTTGAAAGCCTTAAGAATACGTATCAATGAAATGTACTCATCACGCGCTATCATTTATATGAGCTATCATGAGCATTACGCATTGGGAGAAATGAAGGTGAATAAACAGAGTAAAGAAAGTCGCGACCGCGCGGTCGAGAACAATTCGCACATCTGCGACGGTTGCGAGTGGGCGGTCTACGCTTCAAAACCCAGTACGTCCTCCGGCAGGTGCAGGATAGGCAATTTACACGTCAGATGCCATGTGCAAAACGGTGTAGAATTGGAAGTATTCTCCAATGTCGAAGGCGCTGCTTAGAGTGGACCATCAGCCAAGCTACAAAAAGAATTGTGATACATGTTTCTTAATCAAAATTTCACGCAAGACACGATTTTCGAACTGAAAATTACTGAAATCAACTCTCAACTACGCCATTAACGTGTTTAGTCTAAGTACAATGGTAACGGAAAATATGAATTCTCCGCTCACACGACAAACAATGCTCTACACGAGTCCAAATACAGCTGTTTTAGCAGACTTCTCAATCTAGCATTATTTCTCCCCACCCTGTGTTGCTCATAGTGTAGGCAAAGTGCAGCAAGTGAGCCGAAATGCTGAGATCGAGGTTGCCATATTTTCATACCACGTAGACTGTTGTTTTTTTCATGAGCGGGAGGTTTGCATCTACACGTCAAAAAACATGAATATTTGAGTCAGGCATTGGTTTCAGTAATTTTCATTGCGCAAATCATGTTTCGCGTGGAATTTTGGCAGGAAACATGCATCACAATGCTTCTATTCCTACCTTGTCTACTGACCCATTCTTCTTTGTGCACTGAGCAAATTCAAAGAGAGACCCTTCACTGGCCCCTGAAAACTTTTAATTTCAGGGATTCAACACTTCCCCATGGACAAAATTCTAAGAGAGCAACAGTAATCACCCTTTTTCTGCTGTTGACCTCTTCACTAGGTGGATGATGAGCTTCGATAACGTTATGAGCTAAGCAAGTTCACCAAACGTCGGTATTTTTGCGAAACGAAATACTCAACACGTTGCTCAACATCCACCTAGTAGGTATGTACTGCTCTCTTCGCTTTCGCGGTAGTTTTGGATCACCTTGTATATGGTTATTTTCTTCAATGAAAGAACTGCTCAAGAAACGACTATGAATACTGCCGTGCTGAGGAAAGACGCCGAGTGAACCTTTCAGGCGTTGCCAAATTTCGTTTGATAAAACACGAATTTCTCGGTAAACATATGGTTATAATTCTTCCAAATTTTCAGATAATTTTGCTCGCAATCTCACCTACAGTTCCCGAAAATTTCAAGGAAAAAATATTTATAACTTTGCCTCCAAAATAACATCATATCGAAGGAAATCGTGACAACTCTCGAATGTTCATACGGCGTTCTTCCTGAGCACGGCAGACTGCCGTATGAGCCTTCAGACGTTGCCGAGTTTCCTTCGTCAAAAACTGAATTCACGGGGAAAATTGTGAATATTTGTTCCCAAACTTTTCAGAAATTTTGTACGCAATTTAATATGAAATATCTGAAAATTTCAAAGAGAAATGTGCATCACTACACTGGAAAAAAAAACACACTGGATCTAGAGTCCAGACTCTTAAAACATCGATAAGAAAAAAAACTCTTGATTCAATCAGATTTAAGCTTAAATCAAGAACTAAGCCTCTTAATTTGAGCGGATTTCCTTTTGATTTAAGCTTAAAACTGATTGAATCAAGAGTCCTTTTTCTTGTCAATGTTTTCAAGAGTCTGGACTCTAGATCCAATGTGTTTTTTTCCTTGTGTATCGTCAAAAATACATGTTTGATCAAGGGAAATTCGGTAACTATGGAATATTCATGCGGCGTTCTCCGTCAGCTCGGCAAAATAAGACTCTAAAAGAGAGAGGGGAAGGGTGGTCCACCGCTGGTCTTACGGAAAGCATCTTGGTGCAACCGCGTGCAGGCACGGACGATGCCGGCTCGGCTCGGGAGGAATCCGAGTAGAAAGTTGGAAGTTGTTGGCTGAAATTGATGTATTTGTAGGTATCGACGTGGGCGTGAGCGGCAGCGGCGGGGCGAGTCTCAAAACGGCGGCCATTCTAGATCAACAAATTAAGAAGTTCCTTGCGGTGAGGCCCATTTTCACGATGCTCATTGCTCATTGCTCTGCCAACGGTTTGCCGTCTCCTTGTTGCGATGTGTTTTGTCGACGTTGACTTTTCCCACCGCAGTCCTCATCAGTGTCACGCCTGTCGTTTCCCCCCCTCGACCCGACTTGTTTCATCCCCACACGATCTCTCTCTTCGGGGCCGACTCGGCTCCTCGCGAGTGCCTCGCGGACAGAATTCGGAAGAGGAAACCCTTTCAACAGGTTATGAGCTCAAGAGAGAATGAAAGTTAGCATTCAAGAAAGTCAGGGTTGCCACAGTCAGGGAAAACCGAGAAATGTCAGGGAATTTTAAGAAGTCAGGGAATTTTAAAAAGTCAGGGAAAACCTG